AATATAAACTCTCTAGTAACTACTTAAAATAAGACTCTTATATATATTAATCTTAGCTATAGAAGAGTATAGTAGATATTTTATCTTATATAACGAAATATAAATTCTATAATATAAGTATTCTAGCTATCTATTAAAAGTATTAAAAACTAACGAGTAATTATAATAAATTAAGAAGGCTCGTATATTTTAACTTCGTCTTTATATTTAATACTATTATATACGAAATAAAAATAATACTATATATTTAGATAATTCGAATTAACTTTCTATTAGTATTTTAGATAAAAGTTAAGCTAATTAATAAGCTAATAGATCTTTAGTACTACTCGTAATACTAAACTTATATCTATAGCGCTTCGATTATTCTTCTTAATAATTTATCTATTAGTTTATAGTAATATATATACTAATTAATTAATATAGAAGACGAACTTTTATAACTAGTCTCGTCTTCTTATAAATAATTACGAACTAGTATAAGCTTAGTAATCTCGACGAATAACTCTCTATTTAATACGATAGAGAAGATAGAATTATCTACTAATTAAGTATTTCTATACTCTACTATAAATATAGTAGTATCTACTAAGAAGTCGATTAATATTCGCTAGATCTTAGAGAGCTAGTATAAAATAGTCTTTAATATCTCTTAAGAATTTCTAATAACTCTTATTAACTTATAAAGAACGAGGCGAAGTCGTACTAACTTAGAGATCCGTCCGAGTACTCCGGTTCTCTCGCGAGTACGCGCGAGTACTTAGTCTTAGTCGTGTCTATCTAAGGATTAATAATCTATATTTATAGTCTCTAAAATATAATAAGGAAGATCTTAGTATATCGTCTATCGACGAGTAAAGCGAAGGAATTATAGTAAATATAGTCTTCTACTTCTAATATATAACTAATTAGTATTTATTATAAATACTATTTATTCTAGTTATCTATATTTAAGTATATTTCGTAAAAGAGTATAAAGTAATACTTTTAAATTAAGTACTAATACTATATAATATTTACTAAGATATATTAAATTCTTATAAGTAATTATAATAATTCTCGACTAATCTATATATATAGATTTCTATCTAATTAGCTTTCTCTCTTTTATTCTTATAAATCTACTATCTAGTTTTCTATAATTTATATTCTTTATCTTAAGTAAGACGATCTTAGAGCTTAAGATTTTCTCGAAGTATAAGATTTAGCCTTTTAGCTATAGCTAACTTATTCTATAAAGTACTTATATCTACTCGTAATCGTTTTTAAATTATCGTATATAATATTAAGAAGCCGCTATATAGTCGCTTATTAGCTAAATAGCTTCTATTACGAATTAGTGTTCTACTTAAAGATATTAAGAGAAATAGAATAGAATTATTCTAAACTTATCGCTAGCGGCCTATATATAGTTAGTATTACTTATAAATTACTATAGATAATTAGTACTTTAACTTCTTCTAGTACTTTAACTTCTTTAATCTTATCGACTTAGAATACTAGTAGAACTAGTAATTCGATAGTTAATCGTATATCTATTAAGCGCTATTATATATTAAGCTAGAATCTCGGAATTAATATCTCGACTACTAGTAAGTAGTTAATATTACTTATAAGTCTTTTTAAGAGCTCTTATTATTATATTATATTAAGTAAGCGGAGACTTATTCTACTATTATATAATCTTTAGTAGAAAAATTCGATAAAGTTCGTATTCCGAATACTATTTACGAAGAATTCTATATCTATTTAAGTAAAGTTTATATTAAGTTCTAATAAGATCTATAGTATTTATTTATAATAAGTCTAGATTAAGAGCTCTTTATTCTTTTTTATCTTCTTAAGAATATTCTTAATATTCTCGTAAATACTTATAACTAGTATTTAGTAGAGAGTCTCGTAAAGTTTATATATACTATACTTCTATTAAAGGCCGCGGTAGAAGTAGATAGTATAGTAGATAAAAATCGATTAGATATACTTTTTCTAGATATAAGAAGTATCGATATTAGATAGAAATCGTTTAAAATCTAGAGTATTATTAGTTAGTTTTATATACGAGTATTTAAAATACTACCTAGATAAATATATAT